CCAAAACTAAAATTATATTAATAATGCTTTTTAAATTTGTATAATTAGAGAGAGACTAAAGACCTTATAAAATGCATACGAATACATATCTTCAATTGAGTAGAGTCAGCCCAAGCAGGCTTCTAATAATTAATGTGAGAATCGTTCCATGCACTCTCTCCTTAATTAAAATTTGATTTATTTGGCTTCATCCACATGTATGTTTCTAACTGGTTCTCTCAACCATTTATCAAGTTTTTTTTTTGATCCAAGAAAGTAAACTACTTGCAATGACTAATATCATTATATTAGCATTATACCAAATAGGAGTATTATATCTAATAATCCTAGCATAGTGTTATACTAAACTATCATATGATAATAGTAATGTACTAGCACATAATGATTTAATACATATTTCAGAATATAGTTCAATGAAATTAAGTAATATGTGTGTATGTGTTTGGGGCCATATCTGAGTATACTTAGGAGTTCCTCCTGACTCTGCACTAAGGAAATACTCCTGATGGTGATGGAGTATCCTTTGGGATGCTGGGGATTGAACCCAGTCAGCTGTGAGCAGCTATGTCCAGCGATACAGAGCTACCCACTGCACTGGCTCTGGCCCCAGTAAATTTATTTTAGAAATGGTTGGAATTCAGTGGCCTGATTGGAGATACTCACATGCTGTTCTTTTCTGCTGTATCCATGATTCAAGATAGGACTGAGGTATATCAAAAATCAAAGTACAACTAGGGGCATTAAGGAGGTTATAATCTCCATAAAGATGATACCTTTTTGATAATTCTGTTTTCCCCTCTGAGTCTCAACATTGCTCTATTGCATAAACTCTGAATACTATTTGTGTGAAGCAGAAACATTTCAGCATCATTCTACACGAAAAGGAATGGCCACACGAATCGGGGCAGCAGAATCTGGCACAGCTGAGAAAAGACTGAGGTGAAGACTTAGCAAGCAGGCAGATGGAAGTGTGGTTCCGATGGAGCCACAGGGAGGGCTGAAGCAGGCATTTCTGGTCTCTAGTAAAGGTGATGCCTCCAGTAAGTGACCTTATACTCCGATCAATTGGTGTTGCCAGTGTCTGCATTTAATTCAGACTATAAGATAACTGTTACATACCTATATTCATTTGTATATATTTATAAATATGCTCCCAACGTGCAAAATTCTGTTGTAGCTCTTTTATGCACTCATTCTTTCCTTTTTTAAAACATATATCATATTATTATATGCAAAAAAGACATAAAATACGTCCATTGGGAAAATTCTGATTTGCATCCATGAATTCCCAGATCATCATGTTTCAAACCAGCAGCCCCCACTGTGCTCATGGTCACTCTCACAGAACCTCGCAAAAAAGGACCTAAGTTCAGTGTGCAAAGCATCTAAAATGATGATAAAATACAGGATGTCTAAGACTGGTGCAGCTACTTTGGGCATTATCACCACCACTCTGCAGGATGAAACTCTAGAATCTGCCGGTGGCAGAGTTAGACACGAGAATTAATGGAAGGAGGAGTCTGTTCTTGGTGCCGTTGGCAAAGCCTTCAGCATGGAATTGAATTGAGGGTATTCAGGGAAAGCCAATTTTTTCAGGAATCTTTTCTTTTTTTCCTTTTCTCTTTGTTTGAATTCATAGATAAATGTGGTTAAAATACACTGGTCTCTTAGATATCTTCCAACCCCTCACAATATCCTATGTTTCTACGATGGTTATTTTAAACAGACGCTATGGTATTGTTGAATACTTTCTAGTTACTTCTCAATAACTTTAAGAAGGATGCTAGCTTCAGAACTGTCAAGAAAAATATAGAGCGGATTTCTTACTACCTGAGACAAATCTTGTCAACATTTTCACATATCTTCATTAGATGTAAAAGAATATGAGACTGAAAACTAAAGTTTTAGTGGTAACAAAGTGAAGTTCACTTTTTGTTATTTTTAATCACTTCTGATCATTAATTTTTGTCATTTTTAATATCTTTGTACATTGACTTCAATGTACAAGGGATTAGTATGGACGCACATACTTCTTTTTCATTTATAGGCTTTCACTGAATAATCATTGATTTACAACCCTAATGTATTTTAGGGGGTAGCTTCACACTTCTAAAAGTATCTCTGTCACATCTCAGCACCAACTTTGCAAAGTCATCCTAGAACAAAGAATAATCCGACTAGTGATCACTCCAGATTTCTCCCTTTTCCTTCTAGGAGTTCATAGATTTCACCAAGTCCAAGATTTAGACCTGCTATTTTTTTACCAGTCTGTTTGCTTTATTCATAATCCACATATGATATTTATCTTTCATCCTTTCCTTCACAAACCTAACTCATGATTTTAGCACTTAATGTAATTGTGCAGTTTTAGCCATTGCAAAAAAAAATCATAACAAAACAAAGACCACATGACACAGAATATCTGTTCCCATTGAAGCTTACTGTAACCTTATGAGTTTATTCATGAGGAAATTCTATTATAGAACTCATCATTCAAAGGAGAGTGCCATCTACTCACTTGATAGGAACATAAACGCTGTGTGATTTTCTCCATATGCAGGAAGAATACTCCATTTTTTCTAGATGTTTTTTTATTGAAGTTCATTCACTGCAATGACTTCTGAAGATCATTTAATTACCTACATAGGATCCCTACTGTTTACCTCAAACAGAAATGCATCTAATGACACGAACCATTTTCTGTTGAGTCATAACATAAAGACTCAGAGATAGTACTAAATATAGAGTCACAGGGACACAAGAGGTGGACAGTCTTTTTCCCTTCCGAGAGGATATTTTCCTACCCCAGTCATTCCTGATGAGACTCACCCCCACCCACCCAGAGTCAGGTAGAACTGCCCGACTACAAAATATCAGAGTTCTATGAGTTACCGTGGTTTTTCTAAACTACTCGAATGCTTTCCTAGGACTCATTTAATAAATGTTGATTTTGCCTCTTTGACATTAATCTATACATATCGTCACCCAAAAGAAGCATAAGGTAGTAATCTCATTTTGAAAAATAAAAATGTATCTGAACTCCCTTTTCCTTTGCCTTTTGACATCATTATACACATTTCTGCATTCTTTTCTGCCTCTTTTAATTAATTACTCTCTTCCTCTTTGATGATACACAGAAAAAAAGAAAAACACAAAGAAATGAAATTGAGGCAGAGATCAACAAAAGAGGAGAAGAGGAGTGTTCTGGCTTACTGGCAAGGGGTTGTAAAGTTTAAGGAAGTGCTACGAGGATCCAAAGTAACAAACCACACAGGGGATGAAGTCTTTTGGGGAGCAGCTCAAAAAGGCACAACTTTGTAAGCTGTGAATCGGGAGGGTGCGGAGAACCACAAGGCCGAGGTATTGTCTTTCTTCAGGCTTGCTACAGCTCTGCTGCCTGAGTATTGACCAGATACTTAATTCTTTGGACTGTACTGCACACTACTTAACACAAGCTAGCAATGCGGAAGACATTTTTGTCCATGATCATATTATAAAATTTTTGGCACAAACTGAGTTTGAATGGAATAAACTTAATGGATGACTAGGAAATAAGATTATGCTCTACTTGAGATTTGAAAAAATAATAATGTTTATTTCAATTTATCCCTATGACATTTTAGAGTACGGTTTTGATAAGAGCTTTCAGATTCTGAGATACTCTTAAAGACTTGACTATATCATTTAAGATTGTTATCTATCTCCATATCTGTGTCACTGAAATCAGACATCAACATACCACCATCCAAACAAAGTTGACGTTATTGAATAAAGCACCCTCACCAAAGCTAAGTCTATTCAATATGGTATCAACCAGAAGTATATGTGTATGAGTGTGTGTGTGTGTGTGTGTGTGTGTGTGTGTGTGTGACTATGTACTCTGATAGTCTGAACTTTTTTGTGTTCTAGTAGAAAACATACTGGGGTTCCTTTCAGGTAAATATGTTACTGGAATAAAAACGTACTCTAGCTAACAGTTAGATCAACTACTGAAATGATAGACTAGTCAAACAATTGCTGTTTAAGTCTGCATTAATTCTGCAGAGATCTTTAACATACTTTATGATAGCAGTTAGATTTAGGAAGCTGAGATAACATTCATTATGCCTGTTACCTATAAATTCAACTGGGTAACTGGGAAGAAATTTAAAGTCAAAATACTATCTGTTCATTCTGTAAAGCAATTATATAATAGACAACATTTATGGATTGAAAAATATGAATCTTGCCTATCATTGCAAAACCCTTGAAATACAGAAACAAATATTATATCTTATATTAAAATGTAGTTAAAAATATAAGGTACTTCAGCCCAACTGCCCTGGATTATTTTATTTGTATAAATTTATTAAACATGAATTATTCAGGCTTTCTAAAGAACATTCCAAATATATCTATTAATATGAGTCACTATTTGTTAGAACATAATTTTCCAAAATTGCTGTACTTAGCACATAACTCTGGGCATCAGCCATTGTGCCATTTTCAATATTTTCTGAAATTTTTCTGACTCTCTTCCCAAACAATTATTTCTCTTTGCCTACTTCAGTTGGAACTATGTAGTCACAGAGCTACTTAAAATAAACGGGTCTGCAGAGAAGCTTGCCAAAGAGAACCCAACCCACCCATTATAATTAGGTAGACTTTAAAGATTAAAACTCAAACTTCGTCAAAAGAGGCTGCATCTGTCTCAAACGCTTGATAAGACGGAAGAGCGCGAAAGAGCAGCAAACAAGATTCATTATTTGCCAGTTGAAGCGGGGAGTACTGTCATAAGCATGAATATCAAGCAGATGCCAAAATAAGTCGTCAAAATAGAGTGGGGGGTCTCTCCTGTCACCGTCAGCAGCAAAAGGGAAGGAAGGGAAATGCAGTGACTTTTAGCATCTGATCAAGGAACACCCAGCTGTGCTCAGGCTGCATGAAGAAAATGCATCAACCACTTAAGGGACCTGCATCAGACACACAGTTGAAGGACAGTCAAGTGCAGAGACTCTTACGTTCTTGGAAGGATGTGAAGAGCATCTGGAAGCGGCTGTTCCGACTGCCCTCGTCGGCCCACATGCGGATGACCCCCAGGCCCGTGCGGAGCATGACGTCATTCGCCACGGTGCTGCAGAACTTGGCCTTCAGATCCTCCACGGAACTGCTCCCGTCATACACGGCCACGAAGTTCCTTTTGCACTCATTGGAATTCTGCATCTCATAGTCCAAGAACCGTAAGTAAATCTGCGAAACAGCCACACAAGGATAATCATTGTCCCAAATCAAAACAGGAAAGCACTTCAGCAAGGACCAGAACTCCACCCCCACCCGCCACCCCTGGGCTTTTTCAGGCTCACAAGACAGTACTGATTGCAATCAATCATTATTTTCTCTACATGGAAAGCAGGAAGGAAAAACGGATGAATGAGAGCAAATCATATTCAATAATGCTATTCTTTCTTTCAGTAAGTATGCCATTTCCTCTAGCTGAGTCGTTTTACCCAAATGATACTTCTTTCTGCTCATAACTGACTTGGAATCGGTGATTAGTTTTGCAACACAGACTCTTTTATTTTGATCAGCCCCAATGTGTTTGAGAAATCCTAATGCATCCCTTATGACGTATCCCGGTTTCCATTTCCTTCCAAAAGTGTCTGGAAAGTACTCTGTGTGTGCACCAAAGAAAACAGAAACCATATCTAATGATAGACTCTGATTTGATTTTGTTAAAGTTTTTTCACATCACTGTTTCATCTTTTAAGAAAATTTAACTTTTGTAAAAATCAGCTAACCTATGAGCACTCTTGTTATAAAGTCATTTGAAGCTTAGCCAAAAATATAGAAATAAAATTAAATATATAGTTGATGAGCCAAAATCACAATGAACCTAGATCATTTTCCAACACTCCCTGCAAACCTACAGAGTTTCTTGTCATATTTTGATGAAAAAAATCCTGTTTTACCTGGTCTAAGTTGGCCATCAGACATGAGACACCTCAAATGCCTTCATTCATAATCTTTCAACAATTAGACAGCAACCTTAGGATGACATTTTATGATTTGTATATATATTTTATTTTACTATGTGCAGACATAAATTAGGAATTGTGCCAATTAATTTAAGCAGAGGTGAGTCCAAAGGAAACTCTTTACTATTCACCAAGATTTTGCCCTGGTCTCTTATTTTGTCCCAGATATTACTCAGGGTGCTGGGGATGTGTTCCAAAACCACCAACAGAAGATCATCCTGTGATCCCAGTCCTTGGTATCTCTCCCAGGAATGCAAAATCATCCATCTGAAATAATGCTTGTACACCTACGCTCACTGCGGCACCAAGTACAACAGCCAGGATAAGGAAAGAGCCAAAACATCCAATGGCAGATGAATAAAGAAATCATGTAGTAGATGCCCAATGGAAACAGGCATCTACTGGACAATACTGAATCTTGTAATTTTCTGTGAATGGAACTGGAGGGCAACATTTTTTAAGTCGAGTCAAAGGGAGGCAAACAAATACCAGATGAACTCTCTCCTCTGTAGTGTACAAGTATAAAAAAGGAATGCATGATGTGATGACAAATTTGGATCCAAAACTAAACTCATCAAGAAGAGGGGGCCAGGAAAGGTCTGGGACAGTTTAATGGTGATGGTGCAAACTGCAGTAAAACCTTGCAATTTGGGGGGCAGAGAAATAGTACAAAGGCTGTTTGCCCTGCATGCAGTCAACCTGGGTTGGATCCCAAACATCCCATGTGGTCCTTCTGAGCACTAGTAGGTGTAATTCCTGACCACAGACTCAGAAGTCATCTTTGAGCACTTCCAGGGCCCCAAAATCCCCTCTTCTCTCAAAAAATACCCTTGCAATTTAACAGTGGTATGACTATTTTCCCGAAACAATAGAAAGGTCATCTAAAGCAAAGCATGAGGGTCTGCGTGGAAAGTATGTGTCCATGGCATCTTGACATAGTCACTCAAGGTGAGACTGTGCAGTGACATGAAGTTTAACACCTGCACTCTGAGGTGGTTCTGGAATGCAGTTACCTTTCACAGTTAACTCTCATGTATTCTGCATTTCCCACAAACGAGACCGACACATTATTTCCCCTTAATCCCCAGTCCATGAACACAACAGGTATAAATCAAAGGCATGCTTTCAGTTCAACATTTCAGTTCCAAGTTCATCTTTCACCATTCTATACTCACTCTTTCCTATTTCATGAATGGATCATCTTGTATTTTCCATAAGATCCAATATCAATAAATTTGAAAACTTAACTTATGCAATAGAAATTTGTTTCTGTTCTCGCATCAATGTTCCTATTGATTGAAACATGAATCTTTATGAAGTTTTCCCTCAGAGAAGTTGATTTTTATCTCCATGGACACCTCTATACTTTTGGCATCTCCAACTAACCTTCAGAAGACCTAAGTCCAAAACTAGAATATTATCACCCCAAAACTGACCCAGTCAAAGTTAAATCTCTAAACAACAGCTACAGTAGCTATTCTAAAGGCTTTAACTGGTTTTCTAGCAGTTAGAGTTTTAAAAAAAAGACTGAAACCCTGTAAACTGAAAAAGTTTCCCTATCTTTAAACACTTGGATTATTACTTATCATACTGCGACTTTAGCACGAAATACCTACTTTAGGAAGGTATAAGCGACTACATGAGCCTTACAAATTTTTACACATTTGCCTTTTAAAACTTTCCTTTATATTGATGGAGAGGGGCCTTTAGATAACCTTATAAGAAGACAGATCAGAGAAAAGAAATAGAAAAGTAATGTGGGTGTCACATTTATTTGTGAGTACCTTTCATGAAACCACACCAGACCATCCTACATAAAAGTCAACTGATTGAAAATGCAATCAAAATATACACATAGAAATTCTGGATAGTTTTCTAAGATAATATCTCTCTACATGCAAAAAATCAAATATATATTGATATTTTCAAATCCTGTGTAACAAATACAACATAGTTTATTAGTTCTTAAAATTCTCATTTACAGCTAACTGAAGAGATAGTACGATGGTTAAGGCACTTGTACAAGGCTGACCCAGATCCCTGACCACTTATGGTCCCCAAGCTCCACCAGGAGTTATCCCTACACAGAGAGTCATGAATAAGCTTTGAGCACTGGCAGATGTGTCCCTTAAACAATAAAAATTTCATCTACAATAGCAAATAAATGTTTTTGTCAATAGAAGGGAACACTGCTAGAGATAACTGGAAAATGCTATTTTTGAGTATGATATACTATATAGCATCTCTTCAATGATTTTACAAGGTTATAAAACTAATCATCATGAGATTTATAAAAAATACAGTAACTTTCTCAAGGAAACACAGGCCCTTGAGGAATGAGTTTATTCAATACGGGAAACAGATCAACTGAAAGCCTTGCCCTACTCAAATACACAACCACCTAGGGGATTAGCTTTTCAATTCTCACACTGGTATTCCAGAAAGAGCTTTTCACTTTTAAAGAAAATAGATTACAACACAAATTCATAGACATATGAATACAAGAAAGTGACTCGAGCCCTTTCCATTTTCCTAAAGGAGTCAGGACACATAGTGATTCTGGAAGTCTAAGTGAGAATCTTAGAAAATCAATCTGTTCCTGTAATGCCAACCTCCCCTGGATGCTGGTGTTTTGCCCCTGGTGCTGAGGGTCAAACTGGTGGTTTCTTCACTCCTGGGGGACTTGAGCAATATCACTGAGTCACATCCCACACATGCCCTTTTCTTTAAAAATATAATGATTATGGGAGAATCCTGCCCCAGTGAGAAAGGCCATGCACTGGACTGCTGTAGAAAATGCCCAGAGCTTCCTTAGCAGAAGGCTAACTGCCCAGTACTGACCAGGGCTCACGTACATTCTAGACATGAGGGACATTCTTCCAAGACCAAATGTTCTTTGGAGAAAAGTGAACAATTGACTGCCTGAGCTTGGCTCAATTGCTTCTGAAGCATCCATTTATTTCTTACCTTCATTTTTTAAATTATTTAAGAAAGGTTTTTAAAAACACATTCTGAAGGGTAATACCAAAGCTTTCCTAAGCACCAAGCTTTTACTGAAAAATGTAATTAACCAGACAAGTGGCTTGACCACAGCCTACTACATAATATATGTATCGTGAAAATAAATTAAATTTTAGTATCATTTAAGTGACCCTCTTAAGCTTAAAACATGTATCATACTATCACCGAGGAATGAATTATCCTAGGAGAGAGTTTGTATTTAAGGAAGGGTGGGGGGGGGATGACAGAAAGCATTTAGTCTCTCCACAGAAGAAGAAAAGAAGAAATGATAAACAGAATAATATATAACTCCGGTAAAATAGTCAGATTACAATCTCTCCCCAGTGAATCATTTTGATGCATTCTTCTTTCTAATCAATTGAAAAGAGTTTGGGCTGACAAAGTGATTTATTGAACATAATGGGGAAAGCTTCAGAATATATAAGCAATTTCTAGTAATATTTATCTTCCAAATAACACTAAGATAGGGAACAGAAACTTTTTTGTATACTTTAAACAAGCCAATCTAACAATTTACTAAGTAAATATGTTTTAGTATTGTATTTAATTTTTTGTTTGCTTTTTGAGTCACACCTCCTGGTGCTCAGAACTAACTCCCAGCTCTGTGCTCAGGGTTTACTCCTGGCTCTGTGCTCAGAGCTTACTCCTGGAAAAATTGGGGATGAACCCAGATGGTGGCATATCAAACAAAACTTCCTGGAAGCTTCCTCACATGCTCTACTATCTCTCCAGCCTCTGTGAGAAAGAGAACTTTTTATAGCAACCATTCGATCTGGATCCTCCACACAAGTCACAGTGTTCTGTATTTAAGAGACATTTGCCATCTAAAAATCTTCTTCTATTGAAGCTCCGTATCCTTTTATACACAGCTGCAGAAATGTATAGTTGTAACAAGTGACTTCTTCATGTCCACATTTTTGTTTACATGTGTTTATTTTTCTTGCATTTAGGTCATTCTCTCAAATATGGTAACACCTACAAGAGTGATTAGAGGTCGCCCCAAAAGCCTCTATCCCTCTCAGAAAGACTGGCAAGCTACCGAGAGTATTCCGTCCGCACGGAAGAGCCTGGCAAGCTATCCGCTGTGTATTTGATATGCCAAAACCAATAACTACAACTGGTCTCATTCGCCTGACCCTGAAGGCTTCACCGACATGGCAGCACTGAGAAGGATGAGAAAGGAGAGGCCAACAA